CTAATTTAAAAAAAAAAAAAAAAAAAAAAAACTTTGTTTATAATATTATATAAATGTTTTTTTTATATATAAATTGTGTTTTAGTCGAGTTTGATTATTATGTAATTTTTAAAATAATTAAGAAAAATATAAAAACTTTGATATATTATTTAATTTTATAGATAAAGCGTAATTCATGTTATAAGTTCATTTTACTTTTGTTAAATTAAAATATTTATAGTATCCTTAATTATATTATAAAATATTAAGTTATAAAAGTTATTATCAAACTTAAAGCAATTCTCTAATTTATAATTTTTTTAAAATTTATTCCCAAATACAAATTTTAAACGTGAATGAACTATTTTTTTTTCAATTATTTAATCTCTAAATTTTCAAATTTTTATATGAGATAAAATTAGTAATATAAGCACCAAAATAAAATAAACAAACCCAAAAATCTAAATCGAATTTTAATATTTATAAAAGCATAAACTAAAATACGTGAGAGTTATAAAACATTAGTTATTGTACGATTAACGAATATACATCAATATATTAGGTTAGCTTAAAAGATCGTGATATATAAAAAAAATGTTAAATTATAACTTTATCATTTGTTTAAATAATGTTTTTTTTATTTAAGGAAGTTACAATATTACCCCTAATATTTTATAATGGTTTCAAACTATTATTGAAATAGAAACAACACGAGATTGTATCAAACTTGACACTAATCTAAAAAATGCATACACTCTAGTCATTAGTTGTACATAGCCAACATAGGTTACACATCGGATGGACATGCATCAAACAATTATTAAGTATACCAATTAGACTTAGAAGTATGTGCAAAAATGATGCATTTTGAAAGCGCCTACATCAAACTCATTTTCAAGCATAGAAATGCAAAAATTTAATGACTTTAAATTTCTTTATTTTATAAAAATGATATATACATATATATAGTTTAATAGACATAGTTTAATAGACGTGTCCTTATTGTGATTATGTCCTATATTTAAAAAGACAACTTATCTTATATCTATGTTGTGTCACAATTGTGCTTCTTAAGCGTTAACTTTTCATCCAACGTTCTAACTAGTATTGGAACATTTATGAAAAGTAAAGGGTAATATTACGATTTTCACATCGTCTAACTCAATCATATCCAAACGTGTGCATAGTTCAGCCCATCTACATCATAGAATATAGCATTAAAATTAGCTGCTGTTCAGAACTGGACGCGTTCTACCAACAGGCAGAGCATGAAGCAACGGGAAGATAAAAGAGAGCATAATAGTGCTATTCACCAATAATATTTTCTAATTTGTACAGATAGTTTTTTTTTTTTTTTTGAAAGAATGGGAATTTTAAACAAAGTAAAGGGTGGAAAGAAGAAAACAAAGCTTTAGAAGAAAAGCTAAGCCAAGGAAAGAGTTTTACATGTGAAAGACCGACCAGACCATACGGGTACAGTGCTAATCATAGAGATCTCCCCTTTTTCTTTAAGATGAGCAGCAACCAGACTTTTGGTTCACAGGCTGTCCTCGAATTTGCACAGTTGGCGGCCGCGCATTGTTCATTGGTTGAGTTGCCATCCTGCAAATTAATGGTGTTTCACACGTCAGAACATATAAGCTTTCCAAGTAGTTTACTCGTGAGCAAGTCAGATATGTTGTCAGCTAATTACAGTTAAAGATGCCAAATTTGATGCAACCGCCCAAGTCTAAGCCCACTACTAGCCGGTAATGTTTTTTGGGACTTCTCCTTTTGGGCTTTCCTTTGAGGTTTTTAAAACACGTCGTCTAGAGAGAGGTTTCCACCCCCTTACAAAAAATGTTTCGTTTCCCTCTCCAATTGATGTGAGATCTCAAAATCCACTCTTCTTCGGGTCCCAGCGTCCCCATTGTCACTTGTTCTCCTCTCCAATCGATGTGGAATATCACAATCCTCCCCTTCTGGGTCACAATCCACTCCCCTTCGAGTCCTAGCGTCCCCACTGACACTCGTTCACCTCTCCAATCGATGTGGAATATCACAATCCACCTCCCTTCAGGGCCCATCGTCCTCGCTGGCACATTGCTCGGTGTATGATTCTAATACCATTTGTAACAGCCCAAGTCCACCACAAGCAGATATTGTCCTCTTTGAGCTTCCCCTCAAGATTTTTAAAACGTGTATGCTAGAAAGAGATTTTCACACCTTTATAAAGAATGTTTCGTTCTCCTCTCCAACCCACGTGGATCTCACATATAGTTTCTCCCTATTCACACACCTCAACAGATTCATTGGGCAAGCTTGCTAAAGAAACTGATGGAGGCATGGATCCATGACTTCACAAATAGTGCATGTTTCTAATGAGTTTGAGATTCAAAAGCTTAAGAATAATACGGGTTGGATTATAGAAACTTTAGTTAGTGCAACTATTTTTAATTAGTAGGTTTCATGATTTGAAAAAAGATGCAGGTTTTTTAGAAATCTATCCCATGAACCACACATCGTAATTGGTTGGAATCCTTTTTATTAAGGTCCAGAGTAAACTTACCTATTCTTGATTTCAGCAGCCATGGCCATGAAAGCCTGTTCAACGTTCGTGGCACTTTTAGCACTTGTTTCCATAAATGGAATCCCAATTTCATCCGCAAAGGCCTAAAAAGGAAAATACAAAGTCTCACTTCGCTAAGCCTTTTTCTGGTCCAAAAGGCTGCCAAATACTTCAAGTAAAAAAGGAATCTGAACGAAAATGATACCTTGGCTGACTCATAGGACACGACTTTGTTAGCTGTCAGGTCAGATTTGTTGCCCACAAGAAGCTTGTTCACGTTTTCACTTGCATAACGATCAATTTCATTTAACCACTGCTTAACATTATTGAAACTATCTTGGTCTGTAACATCATAAACAACCTGCCAAGAGTTAACAAGATTCAGATCAACTTATCATGCTCGATTAACCCCAATAACAAGATTTATAGACAAGGGGATTTAGGGAGTATGAGGCGCTTACAATAATGCCGTGAGCACCACGGTAGTAGCTGCTGGTTATTGTTCTAAAACGTTCTTGGCCAGCGGTATCCCACTGCACATTGTAAGTAAAAGTTTGTCAAGTCCTCTTTCCAACAATAAAATAACAGTTGGGAATAATTTAAGTCCTCTTTC